TAGATAAAGTTTTATGTAGTTATTGTATAAAGCATGCCTCTTTCCAGCATTCAAATATAAATAGTTGAATAATACACTTTAATAATCTCTAGTCGAACGCCGGTTTTCATTGGCCTCAAGTGTCTAACGGTATGCCTAACTGACTGCCCTTTTCGTGTTTGTAATAGTGCGACGCCAATATCGTCGCATTGCTCATAACGGACAAAAAAAAGCAGAATGTGTTTTTTTTTGGCGTTCGTTGGAGGCTCGTGGCAGTTGCAAACAAGCGACAAGCGAATGACCTAAACCCTAAAACCTAAAAATTATTTTGGAGAAAGTTTGAATAGAGTATGTAGCTTCACCATTAATGCCTTCAACAAATCTAGTGATAAAATGCCACCTTAATAAAGCTCACTGATTCATGTCATTATTGTTCGACAAGTTTTACGCTGGCTGTCGACTACCTAACGCAACCCTCCACTTTTCTCATTCAGGACTTAGGACCTGGCAACGGCAGTGTTAATAACGAGAAATATTTTGGAGAAAGTCCAAATAGAGTATGTAGCTTCAGTGCTTCACCATTAATGCCTTCAACAAATCTAGTGATAAAATGCCACCTTAATAAAGCTCACTCTAGAGTTAAATCTGACTTGCAAATATGACTGCTGAATGACGCCTAAAGAAGATGAAGAGAGTGATCCTTCATTGAAGATGAAATTGAAGGAGATGGCAGACTGATCCGTGTTCGAAGATGAAGAGCGCTTGAATTGAAATGAGGACTGAAGAAGGAAAGGAGAGCAATCCTTGTTCGACGATGAAAAGTGTTCCGACTCCGCAACTTTGGGGACTTTTGGTCTACCGCGATTTCAGAATTTTCACCTCTAGATCGGGTCGAGCATTGGGTCGTAAGAAAAAAAAATAGAAATCCACGTGTCTAAATTTAAGTGGTGTCTGACTGCAGAGCTATATCCAGACTCCGCATGTAATAATTTCTTCCGGTTAAGAGAGTAGATGTATTAGAGCCGGTTTATATTAAGAAAGGTAAATATAGACCTAAAAAGACTTGATTTATAAATGACATTTGTTTATTAAATTTAAATGAGAATTTGAATCTTAATAGGATACAATGGAGAAAAAAGATTCATGTAGCCGACCCTACGTAGTAGAATAAAGGCTTCATATTATTTAATGTTGTAAAGTATAACAATTTAACATATTTTACAAATAGTGAAAACTAACCTAGCTTCTGATTTTTTTTTTAAACTAGGCAGTACTACTATGATTTGTTAGGAAGCCTTAATACTATTGTTTTGATTTGTTATGAAAACATGCGATGACATTATATCAATTTTAATGATAATTCCTAATAGTAATGCCATGGCTTGACATAAACCATAGTAGTACTATTCGGATTTCAAGAAACCCTACATATGCCAAGGTTATTTGTCTTTATTTGCAAAGAAGGGTAAACTTTTAGCCTCATTGACAAAAATTTTGAAATTATTGTTATTTTCATAAAAATATCAAATTGCATGGAGCTTTAAATAAATATTCCTGAATTTTATATTATTTTAACTGCAATAAACAGTTATATACTTATATGCATCCAACGTATAAGTCACATTTACTTAGATTTATTTACTTTTACTTGTTTATTATGTTTAATTCTCTTAGTGTCTGCATTCTCATCTAGAATCAACCCAAACATTATCTAGATAGGCCCACCTTGGGCTTCGTGCACATTATTTGAGCTGCTGGATCCTTTGATGAAAGTATTACTTGTACATATTATGTGAAACAATGGGAAGCTTAGCGGGTGTTTATGAAGATTCATTAAAGCAATATTACAGTCTTTAATGATTACCATATATTTATTGCAATTTTGGGAAAAAAAGTAGTTAACACTCGTGAATTCTACACCACTTGCCTATCTAAAGGTGATGTAGAACTTAATTGGGGCCTTTAATTAGGAAGGAAATCATTAGGATAGAGAGGAGAGAGGGGCCAGCCAAGTGAGAGGGAAGGATGAGGTGTTTAAGTTTAATGAATGTGAATCAAACATTAATTGGGATTGAGAATTAAATCTGAAATTAATTTTAGATTTGGAAGGATTGGAGGGGCTTCCTAAATGGATTTATTAATTCGGAAAGGTTTTTGAAATTCAAATATATTTGAATTCAATTTAAGAAGCTTCCCAAATTAACAATTGACTAATTTAGGAAAGTAATCAAAAGGCTATTTAAATTTGAAATTCAAACTTATGGATGAGGGGCTGGCGGCTTCAAAGAGGGGGAGGGGTTTAAGAGAGGGAAATTAATGCTTGGTTGAATTATAATTTTAAATTATGACGGATTGATTTAATTCCAACCCTATTTAAAATTCAAATGGGCATGAATTTAGGAACTTTCCTAAAATAGGGATTCTCATTTTAGGAAACAAATTCAAAATTCAAATTTATTTGAATATGAAATTAAATTGTTCTCAAAATAAGAAAGGCTCCAATTGGAAGGTTTTGAATGCAAGATTTGAATGTGTGGAGGCAAGGGAAGAGGGAGGAGATGTGGATTTCGGTGAGGAAGGGGAGGGTTGTGGGGAAGGGGACGGGGTTTTCAACTAGGAGGTGGTGGTGGAGTTCAGTTTAGAGAGTGGGAGGAGAGAAGAGGGAAGCTTGGCCGGCGGCTATTGAGGGGGTATGGTAGGCGATCAAAGGAGAAGGAGAAAAGGAGTTCAGGGAAAGAAAGATAAAACCGTGAGCCCAGACGCTTCCTGCGGCTGATGGGTGATACGTTGTCTTTGCCAAGGGACTTCAAGCCACGAGCCCGAACCCATCCTGCGGCTGATGGATGCTACGATTTCCTCCCAGATGGATCTCACTAAAGTCCTCATAAGAAACAAAAGTGCAGAATAATTTTTTTATTAAAACTCTATCATCGTCTAATACAAGAGCAAGAACCTCTATATATAGGCCTTAAAAGAAACTAAAAGACAACTTTGCCCCGTGGGCTTATATAAGAAAAGACCATTAAGTAAGGGCAAAAATGAAAAATGCATAATTAAATCAAAAATATAATTAATAAACTAAGATAAAATGGAGGGATCTCGGCCGTTGATCTTCGTCTCTTCCTTTGATTAACGTCCACCATCAGATGTCCATATCAAAAGGTCTCTCCAGTGTAGCTTTTAAGACCTCAGTGAGGCTGCAATATATTATACTCAATATTTGCAAATTTTTTAACATTTATATAACAATTGATTTTGGTATTCCTGTGATCTTTCTTAATCTAATTATACTTGGCTTTTCTTTGAGATGAGTTAAAAATCTTCAAAATGTGGGTTGCCTGTCGGTCTATTTGGGGCAACTTTTTCATCCTTTTTTTGGTATAATTGTCACACTTTCATTTGAATATTGCCTCTTATTTTTTAGAATTTTTTGTTGAAGAAAACTATTTTTACAATTAGATTTACCAGAGGATAATAGTTGTAAAAAAGCTAGTCCAATTTTTGTGAAATAGAAATATTTATAATAATCATACAACTTTCAAAATTTTATTTTTTCCATAACAATTTTATAACCATTTTTACAAAAGTTGCATCACCCCCAAATGAAGCCTATGAGATTCTTATATGGCACATAAAAACCCATAAAGGTGCATGATCGGAAACACTTGTAGATCTCAATTATTTCCTATCAATCTTCAGAAAATAGCGAGAATTCTTCACAAAGATCTGCACAAAATCACAAAAAACAGTAGGTAATTTGTATTATTTGATGAAAGGGAAGCGGAAAATAGCAAGATACAATTGATCCTCTATTCGAGAGGAGGATCGATCTCTCCCAAATCTCTAGATGCCGCTAGAGCCCAAAGGAAACCTAAACCTAAGAGATCTCAAATTTCAGCTAAATTCAAGATGCCCTAACCCTAGGAAAACAAACTATTTAATGCATATAATTCAAAAGAAAATCTCTAAACAGTTCCTACATTCATGCGTGCGTTCGGCGCGTATAGGAGGCGGAGAAATCCGCCTCTATTTGCGTAGGCCGGTCCAGTCGGACTGGCCCAATGGACTGGTCTAACTGTGCATCACTGCAAATGATAGTCTGAACATGCAAAATTCTAGACCTATTGTGCTAAATATTCCTATGTTGCTTCTAAATCTTAACAGTTTCCTATAGGTCCAACTAACTTTGTTCTTCTCTAGAGATATTATTAGTCAGATGTAGATCTAAATTATGTACTCACTGTGTACCAAGTACACAGCTATATATAGCATTTTTTTTTTTTACTTCATCTTACGTTACTCTGCATGAAAAGGTTTTCCATATCTTACTTGCTGAAAGCTAAAATTTACTGAATGCCTCGGGGTACGAATTATATATCTACATCTTTGGTTCAAGAAGGAATGGAAATCATCCAAACTGAGTGTTGAATCTGCTAAGATGTTTCTTTCAATCCCATTTTTATTCGAATCGGCCAAACTGATCTAATCAGTTTGCTGTATGTTTTGTGGCTCACTTGCACTGAACCAACTTGAACATCTCTTATGAGCATTATTGTATATGTAAGAAAATATAATGCCAAATGTGAAGACTTTCTACCTAAATAATATTGGCAAATTTAAGGCCACTGCTATCCCCTATGCTTCCCAATAATTTCTTGCTGCATGGTTGCCCATGCAAAATGTCCCCCTTTTCAAATTCCACTGGAAATAAGTTCAGATTCATTAAATATAATTCATCTCTAAGAAAAAAATATTTTGTGCGGATATCGAACGTCGTCCATAGACCAATAAAATGCACCACGTCACCCTTTTATTGTACTGTAGCTTTGTATTGCTCGGTACCGCGGCATCTGGACGTAGAGTTGCATCCAGCATCCGCACAGAATAATTTCTCACTTAACAAACAACTCTCCTGTAATCAACCAACAAAATTTATAGTATTATTCATTCTGATTATGATATCTGATATGAATTCTGTCATTCTAATGGTCTCGCATTAAATACTGGGCTCAATTTTGCAGGAATTCCGAGGACAAAGATAAGCTTGCAGCCTTCAGGAAAGCTATTTTGCAGTTATCGTGAATATTTTGAGTCTGAGGACTGAGGATGGAGGAAAAGGTAAGAAAATTTTCTTCTGGGATATTCTGCCACCAAAATGCATCAGGGTAACTTTAAAATCCTACCATATGCCTAAAAATCAGGATTTTTGTATTTAAAAATTAGGATGTTAATAAATCACTTACCTTTTTTAGACACGTAGTAAAATTTAAAAATTATCCTGATATATTTTACACCAGAATATTCTGCTGCAAATTTTATCAGGAAGGAAAAAAAATGCAGTTTTAGGCTACATTTGAGACGGCTTTCTTACTGCTTATTGAACTAGTTTTTAAGTTAAATTTTTTTAAAAAAAGTAAAAACACGGCTTTCTCATTGATTCCTGAAGTAGTTTTTTAGTACAAAATTAAATTTTTTATACCAAAAAGCTGCCTTAAGAAGCAGCAAGAAAGCCGCCCAAACTAAACTTTAGTCTTCCCTGATTCTTTTAGCCCTGGACCTCATGATGCTAAGAATAGATTTGCCACAGATAAGTTAACAAGATCTCCTAATCTATTGTTTTGATGATATAGTTCTTAGCACGTGTATTATGCTTTCATATATTCAGCTAATTTTAATTTATTTATATATTTTTATCATTGATTGTAAGTGAAATTTATTATTAAATAATTTCATAATTTAATAATGGCTGATTTTGCCTTCCATATATCTGACTCTTGACATGCAAAATATATGATTTTTAGCTGATTGTGTGAATATATGGCTTGATTGTTGATATTTTATAGAAAAAATTAACTAAAATGCTTGTGTTTTGGTTTGATAATATGCAATTCCCAAAGAAATTGTTTTATAAAAGACCTTGTCTGTGACAGAATTTTTGTTGTGTTGTAATAGTTGACATAATATTAAGTGTTGCAGAGATGAGGATGTTCAGGTGGATAAGTGGCTTTACTCTTAAAGACAGGATACAAAATAAACATATACGTGAAAATGTTGGAGTAGCTCCAGTAGAAGATAAGATTAGAGAGAGTCACTTTAGATGATTTGGTCGCATAAAACGGCAGCCTTTTGATGACCCGATTAGGAAAAAAAGGTAGAGGTAGATTTAAAAAGACTTGTTTAAAAATATTAGAAATTATCTTTCTTTTTTAAATTTAGATGAGAATTTAACTGTTAACATGACACAATGGAGAAAAAGAATTAATGTAGTAGATCCCACGTAGTGGTATAAAATTTTTTTGTTGTTGTACTAGTTGGCTATCAATAAGCCCCAAATGGTCTGGTTTGGCTTTTGAATTTGTATGCACAAATGAGTTCTTATCAGCAGAACTTTGGCTATCTTGTTTGATTATTTTGGGAAGCTGTATTAGTTATAGGTGGTTTGATTTGATATAAATTAAGCTTTTCATTAGATTGAAATTTTGTGATGTTAAGATGGGCTTATTTTGGTTTCTGCCAAGTTAAATAAGTTAATCATTGATCATTTAGGAGGCTTATTTTAAGGGCTAAAAAGGAATTCATTGGGAGTTCATTGCTCCTCAAATAAAAAAAATGAGAAAATTTTGCCTATTAAGGTTTCATTTGGAAGGGCTTTCTTTCTGGTTTTTAAAAAATCAACTTTCTAGTACAAAATTTTTTCATTTTATATTAGAAAGCTGCTTTGCGAAGCAGAGAAAAAGCCGTCCCAAACGAAGCCTAAGGCTTCATTTGAAGCAGCTTTCTTATTGCTTTGCTTTTTAGCCCGCAATCACAATTACTATTTGGTCATTATTCTTTCACTGCTTTCTTTCGAAAAAAAAATGTGTTAGTGAGTTGTTTTCTATAATAGGTTTAAAAAGTACTTTTTCTATAACAATTTTACAAAGCAATAATAAAGTTATTCCTAATGAAACTTAAGTGGCAATCACAATTTTATTTGATTATTATTTTTAAAAAGTTTCTATGATGAAAATTATATTTTAAATTATTTTTTCTACAGTAATTTTGTAGCTATATTTATAAAAAATTATAACAATCTCAAGTGAATCATAAACAAGATAAATTCAAATTCAAATAATCCCAAAATCAAACAAATTTTATCAAAGTAACTCAAAATCAAATCAATTCAACCACAAACCAATATGAGCCAACTTTTTATATGTTCCATACCATTTATATAGCAAATATTGAACCTACTCGAAAATTGAATCATTCTTACCACCAAATATAACGCAAGCAAATAACAAATATACTCTTCTATAAGATGTATTGTTGAAGCCCAATATAGGACAAGTTAATGCATCTTTACATGTTTGACTGCACGTGCAGCATTGACAGAGTACTTATGAACTGTAAAAATAGCTTTGTAAAATAGTTTGAAAGCACTTTTCAAAAAAAAAAAAAAAAAGTTTGAAATCGATATTGATGTGATTCAAACAGCTAATCAGCCATAGTAAAACTCCAAATATTGCAAAAAAAAAAATTAGGCTTCGTTTGGGATGGCTTTCTTTCTACTTTTTAAAGCAGCTTTCTAGTACAAATTTTTTTTATTTTGTATTATAAATCTGCTTTAAGAAGCATAAAGAAAGCCGTCCCAAACGAAGCCTTAATATAAACTTCAAAACTTTTAATTCAAAGTTGGGTCCTTGCAAATAACATACTTATGGAAGGCAATTAGTGATTTGGAATAAGAGCTCGTATGTTCTTAAAATATCATTAATAGAGATATAAATTTAGGGTGAATGAGCCAAGTGGGCTCATAAGGACAAGAGTCTAACTTATCGAACCACAATTTCATATTCGAACTTCAAATCGAGTTCATATATTACATCAGCTCGAACTCAAATTTGGCTCAACTCAATTCGTCTTCTTATAGAGCAAGTTCAATCAATATTAATTAACACAAACAATTATATTAACCTAATCTAAATTCAAAAAAAAAAAAAAAAAAAACAAACAAACTCCAAAACGAATCAATTTGAATTGGGCTCAATCCTTATATTTTCATTTAGGCCAGACTCGAGCTTGAGTTCAATCTCAATATAAATTAAATGAATTTGGCTTGATTAACCAGGGCCTCAACTCAATTCGACCCCCAAGTAAATTCAATGTAAAAAAGATAGATTTTGAGCAAAATATCTTGAACAAATTTTGGCTTGAAATAAACATTATTGAATTTATTTTAAAACAAGTATAATATATAAAAAAATCAATCAAAATATATACTTTACAGATTTTAAAATTTAATATGATAATTTTTTTTATTAAGATATATTTAGCCTTTTTTTTTTCCAACTCAAAGATGGTAGTATATTTATGTGAATGAATTAACAGCTAAACATTCACAAAGAAAATGGTTGCTATTAAAAGTATAGTACTTACATCATAATTCTGTCCCAAAAAAACAGATCAATAGATCTCACAATATAGGCTCCAAAGTGTGGGTCAGAGGGCATCAATTTAGGAAATGAGCCAGGGAATAAAGAGTTCAGAGAAAAGCATGTCATTCCTTCCAAATAGCTAGAGGACAAAAGAGAAATTAAATGCCTTGTAAGAACCAAGAGAAATAATAATAGTAATAAACTCAAAGTCACATCAATGTCATTATATATATATAATAAATATTTAAGCAAAGATAATTAATCAAAATTTAGTCAAAATATATTTCATAATTATTATACTTATGATTAATCAATCAAAATTTATCTACATTCAAAGAGAAATATAATACTAAGTTAAGTGTTGCAGAGATGATGATGCTCAGGTGGATGAGTGGTTTTACCTTTAGGGATAGGATACAAAATGAGCATATACGTGAAAAGGTTGGAATACCGTCAGTGGAAGATAAGATTAGAGAGAGTCGCCTTAGATGGTTTGGTCATATAAAACAGCGGCCTTTCGATGACCATGTTAGGAAAGTAGAGGTATTAGATTTGACTTCTGTTAAGAAAGGTAGAGGTGGATCTAAAAGGACTTGGTTATAAAATATTAGAAATGATCTTTCTTTATTAGATTTAAAAAAGAATTTGACTTTTAACAGAACACAATGGAGAAAAATATTAGAAAAGTAGAGGTATTAGATTTGACTTATGTTAAGAAAGGTGGTGGTAGACCTAAAAAGACTTGGTTATAAAATATTAGAAATGATCTTTCTTTATTAGATTTAAACGAGAATTTGACTTTTAACAGAACACAATGGAGAAAAATAATTCATCTAGCCAACCCCACATAGTGGGACAAAGGCTTGATATTGTTGTTGTTGTATCGAAAATATATGATATGTTTGGGATGGTTATATTATTTTATAAAATTAATTTGTAAAATTATTGTGGAGAAAGCAATTTCATTACTATGATGATTATAGAATGCAGCTTTTCACCATATAAGTAATTAAAAAGCAGTAAGAAAGTAGATATAAAACGATAGCTAGATGAAATTGTGACCGCTGTCTAAAAAATAAAGTAGCAAAAAAAAGTTATTCAAAATAGTTTTTTTCTTAAAAATATCAGCATCAATCCCAAAATTCATTCTCTCCCTATGGTACATCTACAACCCACAAAAAAGGTAGTGAGAGAAAGAACACAAAGGAAGGATGGGCCCTTCAAACCATGATAGGAATAAGAACAAACACTCTGAAACCAATATGTAGCTAAAATCTAACTAAAACCCTATAAACACCTAGCCATATAACAAAGAAATCAGAAATATTAAAAGCATGAACCAACAAAAAGAAGAATAAAAGAAAAATGGGACAATTCTCATTAGAAGCTATAAAAGCACTTCTCTCCTCAAAATCAAAGGGCGAGGCGACAAAAACCATCACACAACCATTTATTCTCCCTTAGCCCCCATCCAAATACAAAGCTACAAACTCCCTTTTGGACTTTTTAATCCATCGCCTCAATCTTCATCCCTTAAAATAAGTCCACCCACCAACCCATCTCCTTAGATTGCTTGCAAGAGCCATTACTCTCTTGGATTTTACACACACACTACTGATTCCCTTCTACCCTTTACATCATCTTTGATGAATTAATGCGGCATATAATCATATAATATAAATGCAAAAAGACAAAGCTTACTTCATATAAATACTGCAACTTGGAAGGAAAGACTGAGTCACCTGGTTTGAGTTCTGATGGGGAAGAAAAACAGCGAAGCTTCAGCTCACCATTCCTCCATTGCACTCCTGCAAGAGAGATTCAGACAGCTTGAGAGAGTGAAAGAGTTGAGAGAGGAAAGGGAGCAAATCAAAGCCTTAACTGAAGCTGGAAGGAGGAGCCCAAGTACATGTTATGAACAACCAGCAACATCAAAGTGGTTCATCCACCCTGACCTAATCCATCCATCACGACCGTTGAGTGGAGGTCCATCATCAAGCCTTAGATCACAGGAGGAGAATAATGAAATCCAGAATTTTGATACCCCACTCTCTATGCAGCCTCTTGGTTACAGCGAAGGAGATGTTGATACTTCTCTTCACTTATAGATGTATCTTAAAAGTATCGTTGTTTATCCTTTCAAATTTCCTTCTTGGATTTTCTTTGATCTTTGTTGGCTTGGTGTGTTATCTTCTACTCTTTTGTGCGGCTGATGAAGGAAAATGACTAGGAAGCTTGATCTTCATGTAATTACAAGCTCTTATTGCAATCTATATCTTGGTTGCTAGCATGGCTGATTAAGATTAGGATATTATATTATAATTAGATGAAATTCATAGTATATCTCATATTAGTGTTGCAACAGCTTGTTAAAAAGACAGCACATCTCTTATAGCGTTTCAGACACTAAATTTAACATGATTTTATCAAAAAGTCATATGGTTTATTCAGCAGTGTGTGCAATAATGGAGCAGATAGCAATTCTAAATTGAGTCTAAATAACTAGGGTATGTATGATTTGCTGAAGAAAAATTATGGAATTAAAAGAAATACAATGTATTTGAAATATTTAAAGGCATATTTATTGAATAGTAATCATTTAAAGTAAAAAAACAATAATCCTTCTCATGATTGAGTGCAGGATGCAACAAATGCCAAGCACTAGATATCAGTAATTTCATTTTAAAGGGAGTGCTAGTGCTTCTTTCGGAAAGCAAAGCCTGTTAAGCTGAATCGAAGAAAGAAACAGAGCTACAGCATTATGAGTGCAATATATACTCACAAAAACCTTGTCAGTTTATACTACAAATAAGAAAGAGCGGTTGCACAAAGGCTATTAGTATCCATCATGCAAAGTGTCAATACCTAAAAAAATAAGAAGAGACATCACTCCTTAAAATTCTGACAGGATCCACATGGCTACAGCAAGCAGAGTACAAATAGAAACTGACCATATTCTCAGAAGGAATGATTATTAACTTGGTGAAAAGTGCGACTGTAAAAGGAACCAAGTATCAACATGAAGAAATCTACAGATGACAAATTGCCTCGTGGTTTTCACAAGATATTTTTTTAGGTTGATACAATATTAATGGTGGGCCGGTGCTTGTCTGCGACGAATAAGTTGCCTTTTTGTGACATGATTCTTAAGAATTTGAATCATGAAAATACGGATTCTTCAAAAGGCAAAAGATCAGGCAACATAATTTAGTCATCTTGGCAGGAGCCTCAGAGATCTGGAACAACTTTTCTCAACTAAAAGCAACGTCATTTCATGTGTTAATACTATGTAGGTCTGCTTCAGGAACGTGATTATAAAATATTTAATAGAACTATGGTTCACTCATAAGAATAATCATAATCACTTTCCCTATCCACTTGAGAGTTCACCTTACCATACTCATAATTGATGCATCTCCAGAAAATCGCTTGATTATTCATTAAGCGGTTTTGTGTGTGAATTTGGTGGGATATTCAATAAATATTGTTGGAAATTGAGTAGAGTTCAGCTCAAGAAGATACATGGCTTAGGGGAGTCATGAGATAAAGCTAGGGAGCTGAGACAGTAGACAATACTTTCGTGAGGAAATTCCCAAGAGGCACACCAGAGAAGAGCTCCCGAGAGACATCTTTGATTGCTTGGATCCTTTGGGACATACTTCTTAAAAGATAATAGCTATTGTGGACAGTTCAAATCAATTATAATAGCAGTTGGACATATGGATGGCGAAGATCGAATCCAATCTCTGGGCAATCTTTTGGATTTACACATGAAAGCTAAATGAGGCATCACAAAGCTTCCATGTATCTATGGACAGGACTTTAGTGGGCATATACGTAGGATTTTCTAGCCCCTTTGATTTTGTTTAGCCATAAAATATACTCTTTGATCAAGCTACAAATAAAGAGATAATTTAGTTATATATGTTTTGTCTAGTAGTGGAAAAAAGCATTCTTTACTAAATAAATTATGCTTTTATTATCACAAAAGAGCATGACATCCCCCTTTGTTCGTCATAATTCCTGTAGAAAACCCCAAAGAAAACACATACAACTATATTATCCCTTTAAGGCTTTAATCATTAATCTATGTATTATGTGGTTAATTATCAACCACATATTATCCCGGATAAAGCATATACAACTAAATTATCTTTTCATTGGCTTTAGTTACTACAATGTATTATGTGATTGATAGTGTTCCTATCTTCTACAGTTGTGGCACCGAGATATTATAGTGCCAGCCAGGTGTAATTGTACCTAGGCGATTCTTTGTTGTGTACCTATATCTACTCTTCCATATGCATAAAAATAGGCTTATAGTTTCTAATTCAACTTTTCTAAATTGCAAAGAATGACTCATAGTGCATTTAAGTAGCGCAAGATACACTTTACAGATTATTATTATTGTTTTTTTTGGATTTGACACGAACCAAACAACAATTCGAGAGGAAGAACAATTTGATACGCGGCACTGCGCTTCAATATTGTTCCCTGCATTATGAACAATTTGATAGAAAACAAGTGCAGAAATCACAAACATATTGGCAGAAATTTGAAATTTCAGCAAGAACACCGCAGAAATTGAATGAATCTCTTGGAAAAACAGTAGAAAAACGTGATAATTGATGAAAAGTAGAAGAAAACAAATAAAATACAATGGATCTTCAATTTGATAGGAAGATCTGGCTCTTCGAATCCCTAGCTGGTGGCTAGAGCCAAAACAACCTAGAGAACTCCTAAATTCAACAAACATAAGCATAACCCTAAGCCTAACTTCAAATCAATTTTGGAAAAGATTACCGCTCCATATAACTCATCCAAAAGCTCATCTATCGCATGAATAGGAAACTTCTCAGAACGGTTTCCTTATTCAAGCCTGATAGTACACACAAAATCTCCAGCTTACAACCTTCTTCTTCACTAATAGTATCGGGCTCAAGAACGGACTCACACTCGTCCGAACGATCCCCAGCTCCAACATCTCTCGAACCAACTTCTCGATCTCATCCTTCTAAATCTGAGGCTATCTATAAGGTCTCAAACTAATGGGTGTAGCTCCCTCCCTCATGATAATGGCGTGCTCCTCCCTCTAGGATGACAATTCATGAGGGGCCTAAAAAAATATCTCCAAACTGGTGTAGTAGTGGTTGGACTAGCAAAGGTACCTCCTCTACCTTGTCATCCTGAATCCCTTCCATGCTCTGAAGCTCCACTAAGCATCCCCCTCCATGCCTTGTATGGCTTTCACCATGGCCTTGAGAGATAGCATGGTCTTGGATAAAATAAAAATCCCCCTTAAAGATCATCTTCCTTCCTTCCACTTGGATTTCCATTGTCAAGGCCATTCAATTTATCTTGGTTTCCCACAAAGTCTGCAGTCATTTCATACCCAATATCATATCAGTGCTTCCTAACTCCAACGAAAGAAAATCCTCACTTACTTGTACCCCTTGTAGGAGTAGCCCCCTCAGATGCCCCTACTCCTTTCCATCTTCCCTATCCCTATCATCACCTATAACCCACGATTAAAAAGGCGGAAGAGGCGTACGCACTAAGGCGCGACTTAAGGCGAGGCGAAGCATTTGCGTGTTGAGGCTTACGCCTCGTTGGATTCGGCAGAGCGTGCACTTATTTCGCACGGAGCGTAGGCTTCGGTTCGTAACGCCTCGAAGCGAAACGAGGCACCGCTTCGATTTGTAAGTATATAGACCGAGCGGTGAGAGTCGTATAAGAGTCGAGTATTAGGGTAACATACCTGCTTCTGCTTCGGGTGAGAACTGAAAGACGAACTCCGCCAACTTGGACGACCACAGTTCGGTCGAGTTCGAACATAGCTGGAGGCGATCGAAGGTAACGATTTATTTCTTCTTCTTCTCTTGCTTCCCTTAATCTTCCCGTCATTTGCTTCATGTCTCGCTTCTTCTTCTCCAGCTTCTTGTAATCGAAGGTTCTTTTTTCACGGCTAGGTAACGACCTTTCTTCCCGTTATTTGCTTCATGTCTCGCTTCATCAAATTGTACATGCTCGGTACCGCTCAGTACATGCTCTGTACTGCTCAGTACATGCTCGGTACCGAACAAGTACATGCTCGGTACCGAGCAAGTACATGCTCGGCACTTCGCGGTACACGCTCGGTACTGAGCCGATACCGCTCGGTACCACTCGGTACGCTCGGTATTGAACATATACAATAAGCAGAATTTCAAAATTACTCTTATAATATAATTTTGTTCCGGGGGGCAGCGCCCCCTTGGACCCCCAGCAGTACAAATTATGCTTTGAAGACAACAGAACCATTAGTAAAGGTGCTTAGAATGGTTGATGCTGAGAGGGCCCCGATTATGAGATTTATTTATGAAGCAATAAATAGGGCTAAAGAATACATTGCAAAAGAATTAGGAGGTCAAGAAAGTGCCTACAAAGAATTATGTGATATTATAGATGAAAAGTGTGATCAACAATTACACCAACACTTACATGCTGCTGCGTACTATTTAAATCCCCAATTTCATTATGATAAAGATTTTCATGTTGACAAAGAGGCGAAAACTGGTTTGTATGCATGTATGGACAAAATCATTTCTGAAGAAGACTACCTCAAAGTGAATGATCAACTTGAGGATTTTCATTTGAAGAAGGGAATGTTTGGATTTAGAGCAGCACAAGCATGCTACAAAACACGATCTCCTGGTATGTTTGTAGTTTGTGTATTTATAATTTTAATGTTAATATTTATGTTCAAGTCTTCAACTTCAACCAATATACATAAAATACTATGTTTGACTTCATGTAGAACGTTGGTGGGCTCAGTTTGGAGATGATGTTCCTGAATTGAAAGCTTTTGCAGTTAAAGTTCTTAGCCTAACGTGTTCGGCTTCTGCATGCGAGCGTAATTGGAGTATCTTCAATCAAATTCATACAAAGAGAAGAAATCGATTAGCGGCAAATCGAATGAACAAACTAGTTTATGTTATGTTTAAAAAACTGAAAGATAGACATCTCAAATTGCAAAATCAAGGAATATTGAGAATGAAATTGACTCTTTGCTTGTTGATGAGTTACAATCTGATGATGAATAAGTTACTCCTAAGAATGCTGATGTATCTGAAGTTGAAGCAGAAGGAGAAAGTCATGTCAATGAAGAAGACAATGAAGCAACTACTCAAATATATAAAAGAAAGAAACAAAATGAGATTGGAGCTTCAAAAAAATTTAAAGGTATTCTTAAATATAATGAATTATTTTGTATGTTACTATTGTTTCATTTTAGAGCTAATGAAATATTAATTGATATAGGAGATAAAGGAAAAAATATTATAGATGAAGAAGAGTTAGAGGATGACTTTGACATTAATTATGAAGATTCTTCTGAAGACAATCAAAGTGAAGATGAGCCTGCTTTGGGTCTTGATCATAAGGGGATGTTTTATTTTTAAGTGAGTTTATTTTAAATCTTGTATTCCACTAATATTATCTTAAAACAAATCTTCAAATTAATAGTTGACATAATATTATGTTATTTTTTTTATTATTTATAATTTTAATTTAATTTATTTTAATTGTTTTGAGGCTTACGCCTCGATCCGCCTCGAGTCTTACGCCTCGCCTCACTTAGTAAAAACGCTTCGATTCCCGATTTCGCCTTTTAAAACCTTGCCTATAACATCTCGTGATTACTAGCTTCAGTCCCAACTCATCCACCATCTGACTAGAAATGAAATTGTGGGTGCCCCACTATTTATCAGAACTACCACAACCTTTCTCTATATATTCTCCCTTACCTTCATGGTGTGGTTTGGAGTTAACCTATAAGAGCCTATTTAAGCTGGCCCATTCAATTGAACCAACCAGCCCAAATAACTGAACCCATACGAACAAGGAACAGAACCGAGAGCAACATGCGAAGACGACAGGCCAAACTCACGCACGAATGCTCATGGACAGGTCGAATCGCGTTTCTGAGCGAATGATTGAGTACGGGAATGAATTCAGCCTCACAAAGAATAACTTCCTCCTCTTCATTCATTGTCGCTAAAGAAGCAAAAATTTAGAGAAGATATAGTGAATGAGAGGAAGAAAAAGAAAGAAGGTTCATTTGTCATTTTTTTCTATTTATGTATAAATCCTTTCGTATTACTTCATCTAAACAGCGAATGACATTTAATTAAAAGTGCAAAATACCTAATCACAGATCAGACACTGAATTTCTAGTCCAAGACTTCCTTCCCTTTCCTAGAACCTGAAAACCACGCAGAAAATAAGGATGAGCTAACAGCTCAACAAGACTACACTCATCAATTAAAATCTCCAGAAATACGCATCAGAAAACACATCAGAAGCAGTTATTCAAATAGCCGTACAGAGTTCAGATAATCGTACAAAAATCAGAACATCAGACAGAATATATATTTGATCAAATAGAAATCAGATCACAGATACATGAATTCAAAAAAGAGTGCATAATAAATTTTATGTTTTATAAAACTTATAAAACTTTCAAATCACATAACGAATTGGATCGTACAAATCAGATAAAATCACATTTCAGATATCACATTTCACGTATCACATATCCCTGACCCTGACAGAATCTCGATGGATTCTGGCCCCTTATGCCTCCCTTCCCTAACACTGACAGAATCTCAGATTCTGGCCCCTTATATCTCCCTTTGTGCTTATAGCACCAGAATAGAACAGATATAAAGAATTTTCAGAACAGAACTTATTTTCAGATTTCTCAGATTTCCCTGCCACAGACAGAATCTCAAAGGATTCTGGTCCCTATAACTCCCTTCTGACATCACAACATATCAAAGCATTCAATTCAGAAAATTAGATTTCGTCAGAAAAATCGTCAGCAGCATAACAGCAGTATACGGAATTTACACAAATTCACAGATTCAGAAATTTATCAAATTACCACAGATAGTGCAAAACATCATTATAAGACTTTCATTGTACTGAAGCAATATTTTTCGACATCCAGATAAATCGTAGTTCAATTAAAATACCGCCAAATTCAATATACCTGGCAAACATTTTCCAGAAAATACTTAAAATATGCACAAATATCAACTCAGAAACATATTAAAAGTTATGCAGTAAAAAGTTCGTCAGTACAAAACGGAATCAATTACTCGCTTACGGAAACAAAATCCGGAACAAAAAAGTTGTCAAAATCCTCGTTTCTGAAAATTGAGAAAGGCGGACTGTGTCTTACTTCGAGTCGGTCAACTTTCTTAACTGCATCTACAGACGAAAACGGATAGAAGTCGCCCAAAAATCATTTTTTGTTCTTTTTCCTTCGAATTTCTCTCTCCTAGGCTTTTCTCTCTCTTCAAAATATCTCATTTCCATATATATCCAAACTGATCATCCCGGACGATCCCAAATCGTCCCGAGACGATTTGCCCTCTAGACAAATTTCGTCCAGACGAAATCGTTATAGTTCCCGGACGAGTTACTCTCTAGAAAAATTTTGTCTAGACGAACCCCAGTTCATCCTAGGACGAACTTCTTTGTCCAGAAATTCCTTTACAACCTGTACCGATCGCCCCGGACGATCCAACTTCGTCCTGGATGATCCTGGAAGGAAAACAGCTTTCACACTAATATACGCAACTTTTTCATTGTACTTGCAAAGAGATTTTTTCCCGGACTTGTAACTGGAACCCCTACATAACAAATGGGACAACTTGGCTCTCGGGGCTGCGTATGAGCACAACTTAGAAGTTCAACTTCAAGTTTATTCATAATAAAAATGGTTCTATTGAGTTTTTCCTGTTATTATGGGAATGCGGGAATGCAATAGTGGGAAAAAAGTTATTGTTCTTGTATAAGATTTGCATGTTTTTCTTGTGAGTTATTTGACTTTCTGCTGAATGTGTAAAAACTTTTAAGCTAATTAACTTTGGAATGTTCTAAATGACATGTAGTTAGCTTATTGAACTCTTCAATCAAGCCTTCGCGGTCAATTTTCTATTTGAAGAACACGCACAACCTGAGAGAGAAGAAACAAGAAGCAGATAGACAGAGAATGAAAGAGTGAAGTCAGAAATAAGACGGACATATTATTATCCAGTGCCTGTTACAGATAAAGCCCAAGTATATATAGAGGAAGAGAATAGCCATACAAATGAACCAATGAGTAATAGCCACGTCACTACAGGAGCACAAATATATTAACACGATAATAATACATGTATCATATATCTTTATGCACTAATATGCCCCTGCAAACTGATGGGTCCTGGATGACAGTCAGTTTGAGTCGTAGGTGAAGAAATCGAGGTGTAGAAAGCAATTTGGTGAAGATATTGACCACTTGTCTACTGTGTTGATAGGCAGGAGACGAATGTTATTGTTTTGGAGGTGATCCCTGATAAATTTCTGATCAATTTCTATATGCTTTATACGGGTATGGAAGACTAGTTTATTAGCTAGTGTGATGGCAGAAGTGTTGTCACAATACACTTTCGTAGTACAATCTTGAGGTATGCCAAAGTCTTGAAGAAGCCAACGAAGCCAAATAATGTCAGATGTAAGAGCTGCCAAAGCACGGTACTCGGATTCCGTCGATGATCTAGCAACCGTGTGTTGCTTTTTAACAGTCCACGATATGATCGTGTCACCCAGAAATGAGCAATATCTGGATATAGATTTTCGAGAGATTGGATCTCCAGCCCAGTCGGCATCTGAAAAAGATTTAAGAACGAGATTAGTTTTCGTAATAGGCATACCGTAATCAAGCGTACCTTTGATGTAGCATAGAAGGCATTTGAGAAGATAAATACGTTGAGGAAGAGGACAACGCATATGCTAAGATAACTGATTGACGCTATACGCGATGTTTGGGTGAGTAAGCATTAAATACTAAAGGGAGCATGTGAGTCTTTGGTACCTGAGGATCGAAGAGGACAGAGTTAGCTGGAAAAACTGTGGGTAGCTTCGTGCAGGTGGGATTGGCTAACAGATTGCAGTGAGTCAATTGAGCTTGCTGAAGAAGCGAGTAAGCATATTGCTTTTGGGATAGAAAATATTGTTGGTCGTGATTATCAATCTTAATGTTGAGAAAATCATGAGCATTGCCAAGGTGTTTCATAGAAAATTTGCTGTTGAGTTTGTCAATGAATGCGGAGATAGCTTCTTGTTTGTTACTCGTTATGAATATATCAACGTACATGAGTAGATATATTTGAGCTTGGGGCAATAGATATTAAATAGAGAAGGGGTCAATGTTGCTATGAGAGAAGCCAATAGATACCAAATAGGGGTGTCAATATTTGACATGACCCGAAAACCCAACTCGAAACCGACCCGAAAATTCCGGATTTGGGTCAACCCGAAATGGGTGGGTTTAGGTTCAGCAAATCGACCCATTTTAAAAAATCAAGTCAGGTTCGGGTTGACCCAGTAACCCAAAATTGACTTGTTTCTGACCCGAAAACTCATTTTTGACCCGAAAACCCGATATTGGCCCATTTTTTTACCCGCTTTTGACCCGAAAATCGGAGAATGACCAATTTTTTGACCCGAAAACTTGCAATTTTTGGTTCGTCCCGGGTCATTCGGGTCGTTTACCCGGACCCAAAGTAGGTCGGGTTTGGGTCCAAAAACCCGACCCATTTGCCGAAACGGGTCGGGTTCGGGTTGACCCGAAAAGTGCCAGATCAGTTTCGGGTTCGACCCGAACCCGACCCGTGACTCGAAATTGACACTCCTAATACCAAATATGACGTGAACGTGCTGTATCACTGTCTTGATGCTTGTTTAAAGCCGTAGATGACTTTGTGAAGACCACAGACATTGTCAAAATGAGGGAGTCTTCAAAGCCTTTTGGGTGGGACATATAAATAGCTTCTGATAGATTGACATGGAGAAAAGTGTTCGCCACATCAAGCTGGTGAACATGCCAGTCATTGTGGAGATCAACCGCTAGCAAAATGCGAATTGTGGTTAGCTTAGCTATA